ATACATACATACATATATATATATATACATACATACATATATATATATATACATACATACATATATATATATATATATATATATATATATATATATATATATATATATATATATATATATATATATATATATATATATATATATATATATATATATATATATATATATATATATATATATATATATATATATATATATATATGTATATTATATATATATATATATATATATATATATATATATATATATATATATATATATATATATATATATATATATATATAAATATATATATATATATATATATATATATATATATATATATATATATATATATATACAGGGTGTATAAAAAAAAGCGCAATCCTCGACTGAAATGTAAATTGCTAAACAAATAATAGACGAAAACGTTAAAGTTTACATTCATTTTAAAGCGTAGCCATTCAGCTTTCTAACAGTGGGTTGTTTCTTAAATTTGACTCATTGGTTCGCGGGTAATAATACTTTACGTTATTGCGATTGGAGATTAAAAAAATTGAGATGGAATAACAAATCGTTCTCATGAAAATAACTGATTTTTTCATTAAAACAAACAAATGTTGCATTTTATTAAATGGATTGTAACAATAAGTATAATTACGGCTTTTCTTCCACTATTTTTAACACAGTTTGAAACTTCAAATGCGATATAATTTTGGCTTGGACCATCTAAGCTGACTGACATCAGCTTGCTATAATTTCTGTTTACATTACATCGCAATTCGATGACACTCTGGCTCAGACACCAGAATGTTTTGATTCTATGATTTTTAGCATTCGTTTGGGATTTTCAAACAACCTGGTCTCTTTTAAAATACTTTTAATTTGTTCTTACGTGGTTTTCCAGATGTAGTGACGACAACATTAAAGTTTAAAGAAGAAAATTCTAACATTTAAACCGACTAAACAATAACATAGTAGACTTGCATAATTAAACAGCAACTAAAAATGATAGGTTTTACTAAATCTTTTCCTGTGCAATCATTACTAGTATTGGAGACAAGGATAATAGTTTGTTTGAAAGAGAAAAGAACAGGCTTTGAAGTAAGCCTAAATGCGTTTAACTAGAAATAGTATTTCGAAAGTTATTAAGCACAAAAGATGAATTGCGTTTATTTTGATACACCCTGTATATATATATATACATATATATACATATATATATATATACATATATATACATACATACATACCTACGTACATACCTACACACACACACACACACATATATATTTTTTGTTTCCAAAGCCGAAGGTTCGGTAGTTAGTTTTCTGTTCAAAATATAATTGGGCCAATATAATTGTGGTAATGCATGGACAGTACAATTTACAAACTATTTACAGTTAATTTACATTGTAACTTAGCAATTTCAGATACCTAGTATTTACATACAAAATAAAACAAATTCCGAAAATAGACATCTTGTGTTCTTGATATTTGAGAAATATTACGGACTCTGTCTTTACACTCTTGTTTTTATCTTGAATATCAAGAACACAAGATGTCTATTTTCGGAATTTGTTTTATTTTGTATTTTCTGAAGTTGTCTGCTTGTCGTGGTTAGTATTTACATAGTATTCAGTTTACATACTATGTAAATATTTTCATTGTTGTAAACTGTTTATTTGACTATTTACATGGTAACATAGTATGTAAATTTTTACATAGTATGTTAATAGTTGTAAATTTTATTGACACATTGTGTAAATTAAGCATTCGATACTATTTACATAGTATGTAAGAAAGATGATTTAAGAAAGATGAGTGTATATGCATTCATTTAAACTGCTTAAATACAGTTCCTTTTCTCTTCGCTTACCTGTGGGCTTTGACTCGAGTGTAGCAAGAATATACCAGTTGAGTAGTTTCTTTATGCATAACCATAACACATATATCCGAGCTGTTGTGTAGCTTCATCTGACTACATATTCCCTTGATATTTTGTTTGTACAGACACAATATTTTTGCATTGTGAGAAACAAAACACATGCGTAACACGTTTTCGGTCCGCGGACCCATATTTAGGCAGGCCGAGACTACCTCCTGAGGAGGTCTCGGCCTGCCTAAAATTTTGGGGACGTGGATCTTTAATTTTGCGTTTACATGACAAAAATGGAGAGTGTCTGGAAGTGCTCCAAAGACTGTGATTGGTCACCTCACTTTTACAAGTAAAAAGATTGGTGAGCGACTCAGGACCCTTTTTATTCAAAATTTTGAACATTATTTTTGCTTTTGCCCTGAAGTCATTTTGACTGTGTTAGTGTGTTTCACCAAATACATCCCACACTTCACAACAATAATCGAAGTGTGGACAAATAATTGCATTATGAATTGAAGTAAGTGTATCTTTCTCAACAAAAGTTTTGACATGACCGAGAGCAGAAATTCCTGCTGTTATTTTCCTACAAATATTTTTAGAACTACTTTTCCATGATAAATGCTGGTCAACTATTATTCCAAGAGTTTTGCATTCATAAACTTGCTTAATTTGTTTGTTTTCAATAGAAATATTTGGGTGAGAATGCTTTATCATTCGTTGTGAGCCAATCAACATGAATTCAGTTTTAGCTACATTCAAGCTAAGTTTATTGGCCATCAACCAATTTCTAAGGTTTTCTAAATCAGAATCTACTGCAACCTCAACATCAGTCATTGAGTTTCCAGAAGCTGTGAGATTTGTGTCATCAGCAAATAGCAGAGGTCTTGTATTATTAAGGCACTCAGGCAAGTCATTAATGTACAATAAAAACAATAATGGTCCTAAAATAGAACCTTGTGGTACACCACATTTAATCCAGCATTCTGCTAACACATGTTAATTTGATTTTTTGTTGCATGCCATATATGGCATGCAACTTTCATATAGCTCTAAATTTCGTGTCGTGTTCGGTGAGCGGTGAGCGTACCAGTCACGTGGCAGATTCATAAAATACGACAAATACCGAGTTTCCGACGAGCATTTTCATGCCGGGTTTTCGTCGAGGAAACGCAAAGAAAATTTATATATTGATTATTCGCCGAAAATTTACATAATCGAGCGCCTTAGAAAAATAAATCG